CAAACATCTCTCGACTTAGAATGTGACATAAGGAGTCACAACCTATCATTACTTTTTCCATAGGGACTCTTGGCATTTTCCAGCATTTAATAGAACATTAATAAATAAAAAACTAAGGAGCAACTTTTGTTTTTTTCCAGGTATCCTAACATATCATGTGAGCTGCTTACGTCAGATGTAAGCCAGATAAATGACAGACTTGGAGAAGATGAAAAACTGCTGATGAAACTTTACGGCTTCCTCCAGAATGAGCCACCTCTCAACCCGCTCCTTGCCAGCTTCTTCTCCAAGGTCCTGTCCATTCTTATTGGACGTAAGCCTGAACAAGTAAGTTGTTGAGAAGGGGGTGTTTTGTGTTAGAATGCGAACTGTTTTCTTATGGTACTTTTCACTCAAGCAGAATCCTTTAGACTTGTTTTTGTGTTTATCCTAATGATTATATGGTTGGTTTGTGTTTATAGATCGTGGATTTTCTGCGAAAGCAGGATGACTTTGTAGACCTGATGATCAAACACATAGGAACATCAGCCATCATGGACCTGCTGCTCAGAATGCTCACCTGCATTGAACCACAACAGCTCCGACAGGATGTTCTCAACGTGGGTAGCAGGACATACTTTCTCATTAGTGCTAAAATTATTTCTACCATGGTTTCATTTTCCAAGTAATAAATTTGTCCATCACATCCCACAAGAACATGTTAACAAAATAAATGTAGCTTGTTGTGATCTGGTCGTAGTGAAACTATCTTTCATTAGTTTGAAGCCTATATACTGGAATAAGCCGAACAGGCTTAGCTTTGATTTTTAAACCTAATTTGTTTTTATGAGGAATAAAAAACTCTGAATTTAGAGCATTATCTTTTAGCTAGTATCTACAATGCTTAGCTCTAGGTGTATAGTCAGGTTTCAGTTGAAGATAAGAATGACATGTAATACCTGAAGCTGAGTTTGCATCATTTAGGCCGGTTTTGTAAAGCTTACATCACAGTACAATGCATCTCCTCTGACAGTTTCTATTTGAGTATTCAAAGTTGTGTATTTGTAACCAGGAATAGACTCTTTCTTTTCAAAGCAACCATGTGACACAGGTAACCAGTGTTTCTAAACACATTGATTGAGTTTATGTAGACCACTGTTGACATCCTGCATCAGCCTGAGATGAAATGTCAGAATAAACAATAAACATTTTCTAACAGTTATATTGTACATGGGATTTTGCCCCGTGCTACATTGAAGGTGATTATATGAATTGGTGAACATTTCTCTTCACTTTAAATGGAAGAACTTGTTTCCTTGTGTTCCCTCTCAATATTTTGTGCTGTTTAGACCATCTCTCTTGTTGTCGTCTTTTAGTGGCTGAATGAGGAGAAGGTGATCCAGAGATTGGTGGACATGGTACAGCCTTCTCAAGATGAGGATGTAAGTTTTATCCATTGGCCACTGGCCACTGGTATATTACAATTTTTCTGTGCCTTCTCGATGAACCTGTGAACATTCTTTTGTTTTATTTAAACCTTTGAAAAGAAAAGAATGTTCATGCCCTTTGTTTCTAAAGGATCAGTTTATTCAAATGACAAAAAAATCATCATATAGCAATTATTAACCAAGATCCATCATGCTTGTTTTACACCTGTTTACAAATATAAGGACCTCAAATAAAGCATCAGATAATGAGTCAGACTCTAGACTTAAGATTTAAAGTTTATTGTTGGCTTATCATTTTTGTTCATCTTTGTCCAGAGACACTCCAATGCCTCCCAGTCACTGTGTGAGATCATCAGACTGAGCAGAGATCAGATGTTCCAGGTTCAGGGTTGCTCGGAGCCTGACCCACTTCTGGCAACACTTGAAAAGTATGTACCGTTTAACCACAAGAATTCTTATGGTCCATTTCTCTGGTGTTTATGACCATGACCTGACCTTTAGAAATCTACTAAGGTGTTTTGTCTTTGCCATATTTTGACCCCTGTATGCTCTTGAAATGCATTCTGCTCTACTGTCAAGTGAATCAGTCTTTCCCTTCATCTTGTCTGCTCTCCTCAGACAGGAGACGGTGGAGCAGCTGTTGTCTAATATCTTTGACAAGGAGAAGAATGAATCTGCAATCGTCAGTGTTATCCAGATCCTCCTCACATTGTTTGAAACCAGGAGACCAGCGTACGTCTTTTGAAATCTGCCACTCTTGATATTTTAATTTGACATTCCATTTAAAGTTGGTGAAAAGATTGTTATTCCTCTGGTTATAAACAAGCCCAACACATAATCCAGATCATTTAAACAATTTACTTCAAGGTAACCCAGAGGCTACTGATGGGTTGAGGGCAATTCTGTGTCACAGTTCATACCAACAACAAAATAGCTGCACAATAATTATAAGTACATGCTGAGTTCATCATACTGTGAAATCAGTCTAACCACCAGCACCTTCACAATTACTACAAATGTTAACACTACTTGATCTTTGCTTTCAATTTTGCAGGTTTGAGGGTCATATGGATTGCCCCCCAGGGATGTCCCATCCGTCATTTTCAGTCAACCACAGCATCCTGGAGGCGGTGAGACCCCGACTCAAAGACTTTCACCAGCTGCTACTGGAACCCCCAAAGGTAAGCTGCTTACACATGAGGTGTAAGCCGTTTTTACAAGAACAAAATGTTACAAGGTTACCATCTGCATGTGAGTATTAAATAATTTTTGTCCTATCCATTAGCAGCTGTTTCTAGTCTTGTTTGAAGTATGTTTATCCAACATTTGTTAACATCAGTGTAGTTCCTGAAATGGAATTTCTAGCAATAGAAGTGGTAAATGTTTATCAGTAATGAACCGAAGATGACAAATTATCCAGTGGCAGATGGTCTTCTATCTCGTACTAACAGTATTTTATTTAGTAATTAGTATGGATATATCCCTGTCCATAGTGTATATACTGAGCTATGTATGTTCTCCACTAACAGAAGAATGTGATGAAAACAACATGGGGGGTGCTGGACCCTCCAGTGGGCAACACCAGACTCCACGTGGTCAGACTGGTGGCCAGTCTGCTGCAGAGCAACACACACAGCATCAACACAGAACTCATTAACCTCAACACACTGGGAGTCATACTAGTGAGTACTATATGGAAATTTGATATTTTATTTGTCACTTTTTCCTAACAATGTTTTCTTGCATGCATGTCATGCATGAAAGGATTTTAAAATAATTGTACATCACACAACAGGATATTATCGAGATTATATCTATCGCTTTCAGATTTTTATTTTCATATTCATGAATTGGCTGAACTGACGTCTGGCGCTATGCCAGTACTACAATAGTGTGTACAAGACCACACAAACAAACAGTGGATGTTAAAACATGGAGGTGAAAATTTAGCTGACAGATCACTTCTAACCTGGCATCTGAATTTGCTGACCTGTGGGTCCACACAATGTTATGTTTATCATAGCAGGCTGCCTTTTTCCATTTTTCTTCAGTATAGCATGAAAACCTTAACTCTTAGCATTATACTATCCAAACCACATAGTAATATGTCTCTCTTCATAATTCTTTGTTTTGCTCCTCAGGACATGTATTTCAAATACATCTGGAACAACTTCCTCCACATTCAGGTTGAAATTTGTACAGCCATGATTCTTGCTATGCCCCCCGCCCCCAGTGACATCCAGCCAGATACAGAGCATGAACATGCAAGGGAGAGCATCCTCATCAAACATGTAAGCAAATAGTAGAGACAAGAACTACCATCATAATATTTTATCTTGTGGCACTTAAGCAGATCTGTGTATTGGAAAATTAAAGCTGAAGTAATTTTTTCCTGCCTAACATTGAGACTAAATACAACAATGTTGGCTATGCTGTTATTCCATAACCAAACAAGCCAATGAAGTGAGTTGTACTTACTGTAAGGTAGAGATGAAACACAGTGGCAAAGAGTGATTCTCAATAAGAATAAATAAATACTGCAGCACATTTTTCCAGGCAATCTGGTTTATTTTTAGCATAATTGGTTTATTTCTTGGTTTGGACTGTATATTGTATTGCAAGGTCCATATACATCTCAGCACTATTTACAAATATTGAAGGTTTATCAATGATATCTGATAGATAACAGTCTGTGGGCAGTGTACACTAAATTAGTTAGATTAACTTGCTTATATTTTTCTCCACCAGCTTTTTCAAAAGTGCCAGTTTATTCAGAGAATCCTAGACGCCTGGAGCTCCAATGAGAAAGAACAGTGAGTATTCTGCTCTTCTGCAAAGGAGACCATCAGTAACTATGGCAGATTGTCACTGTGTTTGATTTTGTTGTGGTTGTCTGTAAAAGAACTCTCCACAAAACCAAAAATTCTGTGCTCCCTTACTATTTAAATGTAAATGTTACAAGTGTAACAAAATTTCACAAGGATGCTACTGGTTGTGGAGTTAACAGAGTCATGCTTAAGTTGTATTAATGTTTTAGGGCTGAAGGTGGTCGGCGACAAGGCTACATGGGTCACCTGACTAGAATAGCCAACTCTATAGTTCATAACTGTGAAAAAGGCCCTAATGGACCACAGATACAACAGCTCATCTCAGGTAAGGACTGGCTCATATCGCTTATCTTCATCTGTCTCTTTCAATTTTCTAACATTTAAATCTAATCTGGGAGTAACTGAGTGAAAATCCTCTCATGGCATCACTTAACTCGATGGTTAGCCTATGTAACAAAATAACTAGTGGCATCTTACTCGGAGTATGACCTCTGTGTGTGTCTGACACAGAGCTCCCAGTAGAGGACAGAGAGAAATGGGAGGCCTTTATTTCTGGGCAGCTGGCTGACACAAACAAGAGAAACACTGTCGACCTGGTAAGTAACTAGGGCATCATATGCTGATGTCAAGTTTTAGTTTAGCCATACACGTTGGGTGTGCAGTGCAGGTATTTAAGACAGTTTTTATAATTGTGTTGACTCTAGTGGATAAGGGTTGGGTAATATACTCAACAAGTTTTTTTCTAACCAGCCACCATCTACCCAACAATCGTGAATTTGATATATATTCACGTGTGTGTCTGCGAGAGAAAGAAAAGAGAATGAGAGGAGTCAGAATGGGCTGAGTGAATGAATGCAGGCAGTATTGACACTTTTCATTTAAGAAGAGTATGATCACTGTTGATGTGGTGGCTGTAAAGTGTCAGAGACTTCAGCTGATTAGGTGTGTGTTTGGGGGTCTGTGTGTGGGGACAACCACTTCAATAGGCTGCTTTGGAATTCACATTGAGGTATTAAGGCCCTTTTAAAGCTTAAACCTTTTTTGCTTAAATGTATTTTTCTTTAGGTAAACACACACCACATCCATTCTTCCAGTGATGATGAGGTGGACTTTAAAGACAGTGGCTTTCACCAGGACTCCTCTCTACAACAAGTAAGACCAAAATACACATATGCACAAACACGTATGTGCACACAAAGCAGGCCCATAGCCACACAGACCAAACGTGTTCAAAAGTCTTTCCAAGCTAATCTTAGACATAGACTTCTTTTATACCATATTAGCTTTGTTTGGTTATACATGGACATCTCATTTATTGAGGAAAGTCTTTTAAGCAGTGTCAGTGGTCAGTATTGTCTCATCAGCTCCTTGGCATTAGTATACAATCTCAAAGCAGTTTCATAAAATAAAAGTACATGCCTCTTCATGAAATTTTGGTTTAACTTAAGTTCTCAGTTTCAACTGCTTCATTTTATGTTTAAGAACCATGGCATTTTTCCACTCAAAACATCAGTGTTTCCCCATTCGTTACCTATCTGTTGTAATTCTGTACAGAATCAAAATAATTATATTTGCTAGTTTACGTCATTGTACCTATATACAGTAAAGTTAAATTTAGTAAACAACAAAGAACAAGCTCCATCCTGGGTAATATTGAATGAGGAGGAATCCAGTGGTGGAGATTTCGAAGGCTTTGTAACATTAGGCAGACTTGAATGCTGAGAGGAAGATGACTGTGGTCTTCTTCTATTGTAGTAATACATCTCAATTTGAAAACATTTTGAAATGTATCATCATGTCACCTTCTATTGCAGTCAATGGAAATACATCATATTTAAACATCAATTTCTCAGTCATGGAGCAATCCATCTTTGTTAAACTAACTTATAGGCATCCCTATACTGTCTAGATGAAGTACAGAAATGATCAACATTTTATCTTTAACTGAATTTTTCAAATAGTATTAGTCAGCAGCCTTTAGTCATAGTGTCAAGTTACATAATGAGTGAAGTGTCTAAGGTTGTGAGCTCAAACCCTGGTTGAGGCACTATTATTCTGCTTATGTCAATTCATCCAAAATGCATCATAAAAAGCTAATTTGCATCTTCCTCCTTTACTCACTCAAAATGCCCGGCCCTGACCCATCGCTACTTGTAACAGCAATAATTGCATTTGACTTTTTTTTTTTTTTTAATTTGCCTTGTTGCATTTATTGTAGTCAAGCCCCTCAAAATCCAACAGCACAAAATTAAGCCCTGTCTCTGGGCGTAAAGAGTGATTTTCCTGTACGCATTTACCAAGTTTGTGTGCCATTGTGTTATACAGACAATCACCAGCATTATCAGATGTTGGTAGAAGCATATTGCATGTTAACTAGATCACTGACACTGATTAAATTTATTCCTTAGTTTTCCAAACAACTCTTTTATTACATCAAGTACCAGTGAAACATAATTTAGTTATGGCAGTCTCTAAGAGCAATAGCATGAAGAAAATGATCTTTTCTTCCTACATGGGTTGAGTAATTGATACAAATATTCCTAGCTGATGATGCAGTTAACATCAACTTTTTTGGACACTAAACCTCTAGTCAACAAGTAATACAGATGTGTTTTCCATATGCCCTTGCCACTGGTTGATGGTAGAGATTTAACTGCATGTGTACAATGCATAACTTTTTTCACCTGGTACTTTGTGACTATGGGTCATGTACAGCAACAAGCTACAGAAACAACCCTACTCTGTTTTGAAATAATTT